GCATCGTGGCAGGCCTGTCGACTCAGCCGGACGGCGCGTCTAGTGCGCGACCGCATTTCTGCCTCATACTCATCCAACGCATCTTTGGCCCCTTTCTCACCCGAGTACACCTTCTTCAGCGCCCGAAAGAGATTAAATGCATCTAGCAGCCCATGGTTCGCAGCTTCTCCCCGATCTGCTCGCGTCAGAACAACATACATAAGAAAATCGCGACAGAAAACTTACACATTGTCATAGCGTGGGCTGCGTCCCCAGCCAGCGTGACTCGACCATCACAGTTATCCCAATCCAAACATTCCCAATCTGCCAGTTTTATCTCCACTACCGGGGTTCCTTTCGGGATGCCTTCCACAACCGATCGCAGAAACGGGACGAATCCAACTGAGCGTCGCTTCATATTCTCCAACCGCTCAGCATCAGTGGCAGCCACTTCGTCTTCCTCACTTTTCACTGGCCAAGACATACATATCTGGGCCCGATAATGCTCATCGGGTGTTCCCCGCGTGCCATTCCTGTCAGGAGTCTCGAGCATCGAGAACCAGAAGAACACGCCCGTGCTGGGATGACAACCTTGGAATAGCAAGGGATCCATTGATCGCAGCGGCTTGATTTCTTGCGGGGACAAATCTACTGCTACCCCTGTAAATCTGATGGGAAGTACAGAGTTGCTGTATGCATCAGGTCGCAGGACTCGTCTCACCAACGATCGACTTCCTTCGACGCCGATGACGAATCTTCCCGACACGCGGGTGCCATTTGCCAGGACCAGACATGGAGCAGCAGTAGAGTCACTTTTCACGTCCACGTCAACCACTTGAGAATTCCAACTAACATGGTCTTCGATTCCCCGAAGCAAGGCTTGGCGCATCTTCTCCCGATTGACCCGCCAGCGGGTACTTGGGGGAATCTTGAACTTGGGCTCGCCAGTCGCGAGGTCAATGAAAAGGAAATTACCATTGTCATTCTTGGCCACTTGAGGGTCCACCTGTACCTCCTGGATGGCCAGTAATGTGTCCTCGGGCAACATCTGTTGAATGTACTCTAGGGCCCAATGCAGAGTAATCGCCCAGCCCTGGCCGCGGGCATCCGGCGACGCATCACGCTCGTAAATGCGGAAGGGGATGTTGGCCTAGACGTGTCTATTTAGCATTCATGTATTACTGGTGACATTGCGAACAGCTTATAGAGTTATCCATTACCTTCTGAAGGGCTTGACCGAGAGTCAGTCCGACAATACCGGCACCTACAATGAGAACGGGTTCCATGGTGATGATTCTGGGATATAGTTGAAGATCTATCTGACCGGCATTTCCTCGCTTGAAAACATTTTCCGCCTCATTCAGACTATCTGGCCTGTAATATATATCCTCCTGGTCAAGTGGCTTATCCGTCGGTTGATCGGATAGTACGTACCAGTGGCTGATGCTAGCGTCGTCGGACCGTCGCATAGATAAGCTGCAACTGCGGGGATGGCTGCAGATGCATATCAATAGCCGAGGAGGCGACATGCGACGGGCGTCGCCTATCTATTAGTATATAAATAAGATAAGCCTCGCGAAAATCAATCCAACCAACTACCGACAAGAGCACAAGGACACACCAATTATCATATATCACCATGTCGCACGAAGCCCTCAACCCTATTCACCCGTCCGTGCTCCCGCATCTCGACCCTACCTTCATCGAACTCTATAATAAGCATGTAGCCAACACCCCAGGCGGGCCAATTGATCTCGCCGTCCTTCGATCCAAATATTCCGTTCTTTACTCCTACGGCACCGGTCCTGCGCCGGAGCCCGCTCGTGTATACGATGCCACTATCCCAGGCCACAATGGGGATTTAATCCCCTGCCGAGTCTACGAGCCCGATAGCCCCGGACCGTGGCCCGTCCACATTGACTTTCACGGTGGTGGTCTGTCCCCCCTCCTCCCCACCCACATCTTTCGTATACCAAAGCTAATCAAGTACTGCGATGTAGGCTGGGGCCTCGGCGACCTAGACACCGAATCACACATCTGCAAGCACATCGCCGTGAAGGCCAAAGTCGCCGTGGTCGACATCGCCTACCGCCTCGTACCCGAGCACGCCTTCCCCATCGGCATCCAAGATTCACTCGCAGCACTCCAACACCTCGCCTCTCCGGCAGGCCGCACACAATTCCCAACCCTCGACACCACGCGCATTTCCCTCGGCGGAGTCTCCGCAGGCGGCAACATCGCCCTCATCCTCGCACACCTAGCCCGCGACCACCAAATCCCGCTCCGTCTAGTAGCGGTAGGGACACCCGTAATTGACGACATCTCCCGGTATACCACAGCGCACGACTCGCCCTTCCCCTCAATGCAGGAGATGGAGCACGCGCCGACGCTGAACTGGGCGCGCTTAAAATGGTTTGATCAGCTGAAGTGGCGCAGTCTCAGCAGCGAGTACGAAGATATACGTCAGAAGCAATTGGCTGAGGTGAAGTGGTATGCTAATGCACTGGAGGCGCCGGATTTTACTGGCTTGCCGCGCACGGTTATATACACGGCTGGGTGTGATCCGCTGCGTGATGAGGGTGAGGCGTATGCAAGAAAGTTGGTCGAGGGTGGGTGTGAAGTTACCGTGAGACGGTTTGAGGGCGTTCCTCATCCGTTTATGCATATGGATAAAGGTGAGTTCTGTTCTCCATTGCTTTTTGATTTCCTTGTCCAGGTTGTGTGTGCTGATGAGAGGTACTAGATCTGTGGCAGGCGCGGCAGTTTATAGATCTGATTGCGGGTCATATTAAGGGAGCGTTGCATGATTAGATAGATAAATGGCCTCGCAGTATGCATGATTCCTGTCCTTTGCTCTATAATTGACTGTAGACCTTCAAGAAGCATCAGTTTATATATCAGCCTCCCAAGCATCTTTGCCACCAAGCGAAAACAATGGGCCAGTAGTAGCATTCAAAGCAGAACTCGTTGGAAGGCCCTGCAGGCTACTCAGTTAGTGACTTGCCGGTTGATCGTCTCTCCTGCCGACGGCGGCTGTTCTCCGACCAATCACTTATAAACACGATTTCGGTGGATAACTGAGATATTAAGGCTGAATATTGACTTCATAACTCCATGATTTGTAAGATATATTTATTCTTAATCAGACATGCGATTCAGCTTGGACCCCTGCCTAGACAACCTTGATACTCCATACTCCACACTCCACTCCATACCATGTATGGTGTATGTGGACATCAATCCCATCGATCCATCTCGGCTAATTCTCCCCATTGAGCCTCAAGCTCCCGGATCATCCAGTTCGTCCGCCACCCAACCGCCTTTTCTACCCGGCGGAGGAATTGCAAGGACCCTTGTTTCTCAGAGGGGTGGCGGAGGCAGTAGCCATCTTAATCTTATTAGCAACAGCCATGTGGGAATGGCATCTGTAGACTCACATCGATGTAACAAGTGGCACGCCATAAAGTATGCATTCTCCACAGTCTCGTTTGACATGGAAAGTCCTATCGTCCGGACCAGATGGGATGCTATGGTCCTCTGTAGCCAGTTAGAATGGATACAGTGTCAGCTCAGACTGATCATACCTCTTCTGTTCGTCGCAGCCGCGCCAGTTCGTAATCGCTTGATACATTCCAGTGCCGGTGGGACGAGGTGAGAAGGATACACGATGCATGGTAGTATTGTAGACCGACGACTATATGGTCAGAGACAGCCGCACATCGGGTGCTAATACATACCTGCTGATGGAGACATCATCCATAACTCAGGGAATGGTCGATTTTCCGCTGGATCTGAATCCTTGTATTGTAACGGCTGCCAGCTGATTGGCCGCCCACGATGCCACTGCTCCACGCTTTCAGATAGATGCTGCCACTCGCCCTCATCGACAAAGCTGCAGTGTGATCCCCAGCAGGACTGGATAATCTTCGCACACAAAAAGATAATTACGTTGGCATATGAAGCGTCATCGCGGCGCTGGAACACGGACGAGAGCTCGTAGTTGGCTAGATCTAGTTGCATCGGTTGATGTTGCACCAGGGAGGCATAGATTGCCTGGCGAAGGAATTGCCAACTGACTGCTTCGGCGAGACCGCCAGAAGAAGCGGACTTGGACATAGTATTTAGGAGCCTGTTTGACCCAACCCAGTGACACTTTTCATCTGTTGCACGCTCGAGCTCTTCATATATGCGCAAGGTGACCACAGTAATGAGCAGGTTATCATCATATGTCTCTTCTGGCAACGCTAGAGCAGATATGAGAAGCTCTAGACACTGTCCGTGATATTCGGAGGCTTCCCAGTCGCTGGCGTTGGACATGATCGCATCGTGTCGGGCTGCGAGGCACAGCACAGCTTTCAACACCATCGGGACTTGCAAGGCTCGACGAGGGACTTCGGTACTGAAATGGGAGCGAAGATCGCATATGTCGGCCTAATAACAGTATTAGGCTGATAGATTCGTCTTATACGAAGAGACTTACCCATGGTGCAATCTTTTGGATGAACAGTCGTAGTAGATGGGCTTCACGGGAGCTCAACGGCGGTGAGCCGCTCGGACGGGGACTCACCGAGCTTAGCGGTGACGCCGAGCTCGTCCATGTACTCGCAGACGCCAAAGGCGAGACAATATTCAAAAGAGAAGGAGATAAGCCTGCAGAGGATGCAACGATCGGGGGATCGTTGAAGACAGGAGACCCGCCAGGGGGACTTGAGTCCACATGTGGATGGCGGATATTCTCATCCTGAGAATAAAGGACTTCAGGAAAGGGCAGATGATTAAAAATGGATATTTGGTCGGATATATCTCTCTGAACCTCATCAGAAGGATCCTGATGATTGTCGTTATCCTGGGCATCAGGTTGAGCATCGGTGGTGTTGCCCTCGTCCGACTCATCGGACGATTCCTGCACAAACTTTACTATACAACCAATCAGCATGCCAAGAGATTCACAAACAACCAACAGGGTTAATTCCAGCATACATGACTGAGGGAGATTAACCCATGTCTGACACGGATCCCAGGCTAACTCAAACTTAGAGGCTATGCCATTACTCTTCTGGTATACATGTCGGACGGCTTTGAAACGAAACGGCGGATCCAAGCGACAGACCCGTCCCAGACGAGTACAGGAATTACAAGCCGAGGCGCCCGCGCGAGTGGTGCATCGAATATGACGAACCCGACAACGTTCACATCCTCGTCCGATTCTCATGGCAGGCTGTGGGGCAAGAGGCCCTTAGCGTTCAGCGCTGCGGGGAAAGGACAACAAACGGACAGGGACATCGGCGGGCTAAGGAGATTCATCCAGCCTACTGGACAGGAGGACGAGATTGACGGCGAGTGTGGCCTGATGGGGGAGGGATGGGATGAGAACACGACAGAGGAGAGGAGGACGGGTATGGCTGCGAGGTGAAATGGCAGCTTGTCGGCTATTGATTTGTTGCCAATGCGGAGTCTGTCTCCCCCGCGGGGCCTGGGGCCAGCAATTTCCCGTTTAAGTCTAGTGCGAGCCTCCCCGCATTGTCCCTATGGCTGATTCAGCATTCAGCTTTTGCGTGCTTGCTGATTGGTGGATATACGCCTATTCCTAGGGTGGTGAGTTTATGGGATAGACTGTTAGTATTTATGGATCGTGTGAAGCAAAATGATGTCATTATCGGATTCTAGTAAAGTGTGGTTCTATATCAAGTAGTAAGAACTTTCCAGATCTGCAGAAGAAACGAACTATTTACAACAGAGGAATCAGATTATCTTACATATCTTGGTGGTCAATTGAATGTCCGGTAAACTCCTTCCCCTACCTTTCCCTTTTGTTATTAATAGTAGCTTCTTCTACTGATCCGGTTCCTTCCTGTAAGTCCTCCGAATTCCTCCTTCTAATCTCGTCGGTATTTTTCCGATCTTTAAATATACCCGGCTAGTGCTGTAACCCTCAGTCCTCAGAGCTAGACAGAACACATTACTTCATGTGGTAATCACTTAATAAGTCATGAGAGGTCGAGGTCTCACAGCTCCCCTGCAGGAGCAGACACCCTGCCAAGATGCAGCCATAACCTGAACCCACCTGTTCAATGACAGCGAGTCTGTAATCCAGGTAGTAGGGTCTCAGTCCTCCGTCTGGACAGCCATCTATGACAGGTGCGGAACTCTGCAAGGTACATTTTCTGGTCTCATGATTCACGAGGTCACTGCACGCATGTAGGTTAAAGGAATGAGGTTGCAGACTCCCAGGGCAAGTGGTGTAGCCGCCACATCGATCCAGGGCATTTGATACTGATAAAGGGGATGAATGGGACACAAAATACAAGATGAAAGCAAGAGACCTCGGCGTTATGTTGTAGCAGTTGATTCTTTTCGAAGGTTAGATACAAAAATGCAGAATGACAGGAGAACAAAGGAAGAGAGTGTAGGATAAGATTGTGTTCTTCGTTAAGAAGCGTGACGATGCACGTGGGTGGTATAATACAGAGTCGGGCTGCAATAATGATAAATAATATTGCTCAATTCAAGTGCCAAATCGGCTGTTTGCAGTAAGTTGCAAGGTACATGGGTTAACTGGTGGAAAGCAAGATACGCAGCTATGCCTCGAAGGTATATATTTAATCCAGGTCCCCACTAGAGTAAGTTGGTCCATGCTCTCAACAGACAAGCCTGCATAGCTAGCATCATATATAGCGGGATCAATAATGCATAAGAACAAGAGTGGAATTGAGTTGAACTGGATTGCGGGGAACCCTACCGGCAAAACACATCAAGCGGGAAAGCACTTTTCCGGGCCTTCAACACCGCTTACCCGGTACAATATTAAAGTGTACCTTCATAGCCACAAGCGTATTGCTATGAACCGTCCTATACATCTAGATCCTCTGTCCCGTTCAAGGACTACATTTACTCCGTTCGTGGTGAGTGATTGTGCGTCGTCGCCGTGAAATCCCGAGGCCGGGCAGGCGACAATTCGATCCTCAAGGCTGGGAAAGAGATGGGTAGGAGTGGGTTTTCTATAATTTGGGAAGTTGGGAGTGGAGAGGGGGAGAATGAGAGTCCCGGATCTAGAGAGGTGGAGCTATGATGAGGCTGAGAAGGTGTGGAGTGATAAGTTGAAGGTGGATTATGAGGTCGATGAGGAGGTGCGGCTTAATTTTCTGTTGAGGCAATTTGTGGGTGTATTGAATGGGATGAAGTGAGGCGGTAGTAGAGGCTCGATTAGTCCAATGAAATAGGACTATCCTTTCGAATATATGTTGGTGCATGTGAATGAATGCCATTGTTTATCGCGCAATGAGGCTGTAGCGGAGCTAAGTGAGAATGGATTCATGGAATGATATGCGTCGGGTCGGTCCGTCATGTTTGCGCCACTATACGATCTCCAAAAATCCAAAGATTTGCAACCCAAGCCCTAACGGGACATGGATAACCCGTCACCAGTTAGGAAGGAAAACAGGCTGGCGCTAGGCAGAACGGACCAGGGATCTCTGCCTGTCTCCGACCGCTAGTTTCGTCGAGGACCATTGGCCATTCGAGTTACTCCCAGGTTGTTGTCTAGGCTCTGCACGATCGCATCCAGACCAGTGAATAATGCAGACCCATTAGGCAGACATGCGTGTCAACTGCGTCCCACGTTGCTTGCCGCATCCCACAGCCTCCCTGCGTTGAAGATCCATAGAGGCTCTGCTCTGCTGTGGTCCACTCGTTCTACATTTAATTTCTTTTTCTCTACTCATTAGTGAATCTGTAGAGTTGGTGGTCATGTAGTAGACAAACTGATGTCATCTGTCCCCAGGGGAATCCTCTTGACCTCGTCCCTGGTGCCCGGCTGACTGATTTCTTTGCTTGCCCTGTGACCGACCCGAGCAGCCACACTCCATCGCCACACTGCCTCTGCCTCTGCCTCTGCATTCAACTAAGTACGCACACAACATCCTGGGCTGTTGGTAAGGCTGGAGAAAGCTCCAGCCGTGACACCTTGCTCAAGCAAACCGCAACCCTCCCCCTCGCAGCTGAGCCACAACAGTTGGTTCAATAAGACTAGCGAAAAGCAGCTATGCCCCGGCTGATCCTGACGTGCGGTCATTGTTGCTGCGATTTGCAATATCATTTAACTTTATAAGAATTCCACCGAGTCGCAACTCCCACCCGACCTGAATCTTCATCATCAGGAACGATCATCTTCTTAATGGGATCGTTTGCTATTTTAATTCTGCCCTTCCCTTCCTTCGTTCTGTGATTTCCTCCTTTCCGTCTGCCCTCTTCACCTGTGGACACACGCGCAGTTCACTCGTATTCACCTTCCCCTTCCCTTTCCCATCCTCCCCCCCTCCTTCACTTATCAGGCGCGGTGAACCCATGACTTCACCCACATGTCTTGGATCCATGACATCGTCGCAACGCGCTGTTTACTACAAATTTCTCAAATGAAAACAGTACCTTCGTCTGCTTTTGCGCGCTGCCACAATGTGCCCTGTCCATCTATAGTAGTGAGCTCTACGGACCCTACCGCGCGAAAGCGGCTGTTGCCATACGTCTACGTCTACGCTTCATACCACCTACTACCGCAGATTCCGTGCCTGATCCAGCATCGCAGCGCAAGATAGGCCGCATGTGTATTGTCGAAGAGTATACCGCTTCGTACCCTGACGTCCGACGAAGGCGGGTCCTTCAGCGGTGCCTCTTGGGGAGATCGTTAGGGTACTGTTATCGCACCCAGGTGGTCAGCCCTGGCGAGCGCATCCCTGAGCGCCCGGCCAGTCAGTTTCAGTACAGGAAACCCAGAAGTACTTATCGACCGGCCATGCAGTCACTGCGCGATCTGATCGTCGATCCACGGGAGCCGGCGCGGCGGAGACAGTCCCCAAACTATCCGCGACGAATGCCCGCGCGACGAAGTGACCCTTTTCGAGTTTTCTTTCCGTTCCTTCGACGAGCATCTGACAGCGATGACGTGTGGAAGAACGACGAATATCGGCCGCGAGGTCGGGGACGGTCGCCTCGGCCGGTCACTATGGCACGGGATGTACCGCCCATCAAACGTGAACCCCGGAGCGTTCCAAGGAGACGGCCTCTAAATTCAAAAGTCAGGGTGGTCACCCCACCACCAGAGCCTCTATATAAGGAGGAACCACTGCGACCACGGCCCGGAAGGTCACCTGCTTCGCCTTCTCTCTCACCCCGGGATCCAGGTACCTTCCGTCGTCCAGTCATTATTCATCAGGAGCCAAAGCCACGACCAAGCCCAATGCCTTCTCCAGGCTCATCTGGCTATCGATTCAGGAATCCATGGCACAGTAGATCCCCATCTCCAGGCCCCTCCAACTGGCGTCGCAAGGAGCCACGACCAAGTCCATCAGTATTCCCAGGACCAGCAAAACCTCAGGAGCCACAGCCGCAACCATCTCCAGAAGGTGCACCAAGTACTAATGCTCCAGCAGCACCTGTCACCCCTCCCAAAAAGAAAGAGCGACGTCCCAGGGAGCGTTCCCCATCTATCGAGCGTGTGCCAATCCGCAAAACACGTTCCACCCCAACCGTTCCGGTGGAGGTGCACAACCCCCCAGCTCCAGACAGCGGCCCCAAGCCACTTACAACGTCAAACACCACATCCCCAGGGAGTGGACCCCGCCATGTGCAGTTTTCTGACATAGTGGATCATCTCTCTATATCCGGAGAGAGCAATGCTCCCTCGTCTCCTACCGGCCCTCCGCGCTTCTATAGACAATTTGCCAGCGCAAGTCGTCGTAGGTCCCCAACTCCGGGGCCTACACCAAGAGTAAGAGAAGGACGAGGTGATTCAAGCTCCCAAAGAACCCGATATGTGTATGCGTCTCCTGCTGCGAGTCGTTCATATCCCCCGGGCGTTGAGGTGCTGATTGTGACTCCGCGCAGGTATCGACCAGGAGGAATCACTCCACCAATGAGCCGAGAAGCCGTTGACATTCACGAAGTCGAACCCGGGAGAAGCATTTCATGGTCTGGACGGGCTGCTAGGGTGGGTTTAGAGGGGAGCGGTTGGCGGGTGGAACGTCGGCCCAGACGTGGGATGGGGAGGGAGGAGCTGGGAACAGGCGCGAGGCCGAGGATCGTATCACTTTCACCGCCGAGAGGGCGATGGAGACCCAGAATGCGCCAGACTGAGCGGTATGGGGGGTTCGAGTCGGGCGATGAACGGGTGGTTAGGAATGAGGGTGGTTCGGGGCGTGTCTGGAGGTGGCTGTAAGAATTAGGGTCATGGTGGAAGTTTGTAAGATGTTGTTAGTAGTGGACATTTCGGGCTATTCCTTATGTTGATGATGTTTATTGTCTTGATTAAAAAAAGAAGAACATTGTTTATTGTTTGAGAACCGCTATAGGGATAGAAAATGATATATGTCGTTTAAACTGAGAGATGAAGCAAGGAGCAGGTAAGATGTAGGCTGGGGACAGTTCCCCACATGACTATCACCACGTGACCTCAAGGGGACCTCGGCAGCGGTTAGCGGCGGGCCGGCGGGCGGAGAAGAGGAGAAGCAGCAAGCATGCATGTGCATCTCATCCCATCTCTCATCACTCTCCTGTACTACTTCAAATCTACCTGCTTCTTGCTTCATCCCACTATCTCATTGTCATCGCTACCTTCTTCAAGCCTAGTTATTTTTCACATTATCTCCTATTACTGATACCCACAATGCTTGCCTCCCGTCTAACCCCGCGAACCATCCCCGCACGCCAATGGCGTCGACACTTCAGCGCCGCTCGACCGGCTCTGAAGGAGATCCAAGATGCCTACATTCTCAGTGCGGCGCGCACTCCAACCGCCAAGGCACGATTCTCTGCACCCAACGTTTACAGCCATACTAATCGGAATACAGTTCAACGGCTCCTTTGTCTCTGTCCCGGCTCCTCAACTCGGCGCCGTGGCCATCAAATCCGCAGTTAGCAAATCCAACCTCCCTGTCGAGAAGATCACAGACGTATACATGGGCAATGTTCTTCAAGGCTCTGTGGGTCAAGCACCCGCGCGTCAAGCCTCCATCTTCGCCGGCCTCGCCCCCACCGTTGAAGCCCTGACCGTGAACAAAGTATGCGCATCAGGCCTGAAGGCCGTCGCTCTGGCGGCCCAGAACATCCAGCTCGGACTAGCGGAGGCACAGGTTGCCGGTGGTATGGAGAATATGTCGCGTGTGCCGTACTACATGGCACGGTCTAGTCAGCTCCCTCCTTTTGGAGAGATTAAGCTTGAAGATGGCCTGATCAAGGACGGGCTGTGGGATGTGTACAACCAAATTCATATGGGAATCTGCGCGGAGCAGACGGCAAAGAAGTATGAAGTGTCACGGGAAGAGCAGGATGATTATGCCATTCAGTCGTACGAGCGGGCACAGAAGGCGTGGGCGGAGGGATTGTTTAGCGAGGAGATTGCCCCAGTGACGGTGAAGGGCAAGAAGGGGAATACGGTAGTGGAGAGGGACGAGGGCTTTGAGAACCTCAAGGCAGATAAGCTGCGCGGATTGAAGCCTGCGTTCTTGCGTGACGGCACTGGCACCGTCACAGCGGGTAACGCGTCCACGATGAATGATGGCGCGTCCGCCGTGGTGGTGGCTAGTCGTGAGCTGGCGAGGGAGTTTGGCACGGGAAATCGTGCTCTGGCAAGGATTGTTTCTACTTCTGATGCCGCTATCGACCCTGTCGATTTCCCTGTGGCCCCGGCCAAGGCGGTGCCGATTGCGCTGGAGCGCGCGGGCATCAGCAAGGAGCAGGTGGCGGTTTGGGAGTTCAACGAGGCGTTTGCGGCGGTGATTAAGGCCAACGAGAAGGTGAGTACTACACTCATACCTTTGACATTCATTGAATATGGCTAACCAAACAGATTCTGGGACTGCAAAACGCGCGAGTCAACCCGCTGGGTGGAGCCATCTCGCTGGGTCATGCGCTGGGCAGCTCGGGCTCGCGCATCCTGGTGACGCTGCTGCACCAGCTACAGCCAGGCGAGTACGGTGTGGCGGCCATCTGCAATGGCGGTGGAGCAGCTAGCGCGATGGTCGTGCAGAAGCTGGACCGGGTGGATTAAACATCCATGTACATATGAAGAATTTGATGCCAACATGTTCACACTAGCTAGCGGTCAATTTAGCCTCAGTCTCGCAAAAATCAAGCTAAAGGCCAACCCTAATAATGCCCCTGCACCGTCAACGTCCCCGTCTTGGTAACCAAATACTCATCCACAGCCACATCCTTCCCACTCTCCTTTCCATACCCACTCTCCTTCATGCCCCCAAACGGCGCCTCCGCAGCCGACATACTCCCCGTATTCAAGCCCACCATACCGGCCTCCAGCTTCTCAAACAACCTCCACAAGCGATCCGCATCTTTCGTAAACGCATAACTCGCCAGCCCCATACTAGTATCATTCGCCCACTGCACGGCCTCATCCTCCGTATCAAACGCATACAACGCCGCCACCGGCGCAAACGTCTCCTCCCGACTAACCAACATCTCCTTCGTCATGCCCGTCAGAATCGTCGGCTGGAAGAAATGCCCCTTCTTCCCCTCGACCCTCCCACCACCCAAAATAACCTCAGCCCCCAACCTCCTCGCATCCTCAATCTGCATCTCCGCCTTCCCCACCCCTCTCTCCGTCGTCAACGGCCCCATCCCCACCCCCTCCTCCATCCCATGCCCGACAACCAACTTCTCCGTCCTCTCCCTCAACAACCCCGCAAACCTCTCATAGACCCCCCGCTGCACATACACCCTATTCGCCGTAATACACGCCTGGCCAGCATGCCTCCACTTCAAATTCATCAACGCCGCGACAGCGGCCTCCAAATCCGCATCCTCAAACACAATAAACGGACAATTCCCCCCCAACTCCAACGTCACCTTCTTCAACCCATCCGCACAAATCCCCGCAATCAACTTCCCCACCCTCGTCGACCCCGTAAACGTCACCTTCTTCACCAACTCATGTCGACACAACGCCTCACTCAACGAAGGCGTATTCTCCATATCCGTCGTCAACACATTCACCACCCCCGCCGGGAACCCCGCCTGCATAGCTAACCCCGCAATCGCCAACGCAGACACAGGACTCTCCGGAGACGGCTTCACAATCATCGTACACCCCGCCGCGATCGCCGCCGCGACCTTCCTCAACACCATCGCCACCGGGAAGTTCCACGGTACTAGCGCGGCCGCTACGCCGATGGGCTGCTTGATCGTCATGATGCGACGGCCCGGAACGGCGGAGGAGCTGATCGTGCCGGAGACGCGCTCGGCTTCGCCTGAGAACCAGCGCGTGAAGGAGGTTGCGTAGTCGATCTCGCCGAGCGCTTCGGAAAGCGGCTTGCCTGTCTCGTAGGTGATGATTTTGGCAAGGTCGGTTTTGTGCGTACGGATGAGGGTGTCCCAGGCTGTGAGGAGCTCGGAGCGGTAGCGCGCGGTGGTGTGGCGGAAGGTGAGGAATGCGGAGTGTGCGGAGGTTACGGCGTGGGGGACGTCGAGGGTTGTGCAGGTGGGGATTTGGGCCCAGGGGTGGGAGGTGCCCGGGTCTGTTGGGGATTTTCATTAGGATGGGCGTTGAGGGGAAGGAAAAGGGGATGGCATACCGATGACTTCAAAGTGCTGGTTGCTTTGGGATTTGATCCAGGTGTTGTTGACGAAGGCATCGAAGTGGAGGATGGAGGGGTCGGAGAGCTAGATGCGTGAGTTAGAGGAAGGGGAGACGAGGGTTGGAGTGAGACATACTTGGAATGGAAGCTCGTATTGGGCCATTGTAGCTTGATTCGTTTACTATCTGATGGATATGTAGAAAGTAGAGATTGAGGGATGAGATACCAGGGACGTATCACAATATAAGGGATATGGATGAGAAGAGGGGAAGATAAGCTGACCCCGCACCTCGGATATCGGCAAGTTTCCTACAAAACTACTATTGGAATACCATTGACTCAAATAACATGTATCAACTTTATCATTCGCTGATCATCTATATACATAACAGCTCTGTAGTCTGTACATCAGCTGCTTCTAGTGCAGGTACTCGTTCACCACTTCCGTAAATGCCGTCGCATTCTCCAACATCGGCAGATGACCTGCCTTCGGCACCAACTTCAACTCGGACTTGCTCTTCAGGTCTGCCACCATCTGCTGCATCGTCTTGGGCAGCACACCATCACTCTCACCGGCCACGAACAGGCCAGGCACCTGTGCCTGTGCCATCCGGTCCCGCACATCATACGCACACAGGGCCTGCACGCTCTGTCTGAAGCCGGGCAGACTGTTCGTCCGCACCAATTCCTTCGCCTTAGCGGGCAGATGGGGCTGTGTCTCGTACGACTCAGCTGTGAACCAGCGCCGCACGGTGATTTCGGCCAGCTTCTCGCCGACAATCGCCTGCTGCGTGGTGGACGACACGGCACCCTCGCTGGCTGCCAGCTCGACACGCTCGTTCCAGGCCTTACGGTTCGTCTCGGGGCTGGAGCTGTTGGTGTCGCAGGAGATGAAGCGCTCCACGCGCTCCGGGTACAGCAGGGAGGTGTTCAGCACGGTCACACCACCCAGGCTGACTCCGATAAGGGTGGCCTTGGGAACGCGCAGAGCATCCAGCAGTGCGATGATATCCGAGGCCAGTAGATCGATGTTGACGGGCTTCTCGCCGCATTCTTGCTGCCGGCCACGGGTGCAGTACCGGACAATGCGGAAGTTTTGGTTGCGAGGGTCGGAGAGGAACTGGTCGACAAAGTCGTCCCAGATGGTGTAGTCCACCAGGATGGAGTTGCTGAGCACGATGACCGGGCTGTGGGGGTCGGTGCTACCCTCCAGGCGGTAAGGGAGCTCGACGCCGTCGGGGGTGGTGACGAAGGACTCGACGGCCGGGCGGGTGGGAGAGGGCAAGGTGCGGGTTTTGCCGTCAATGGACGACCAGGGACCGATGACATCCGGGGAGGTCAGGGAGGACAGCTCGCGGGGAGCGGGTCCGAAGGTGTAGGCCCACTGGTAGGTGCGACGGCGGGTTTTAGCCACGACGTCGGTCATGATGCGGGTGCGCCAGGGAGTGTCGGTGGCGGCCTTGAATTCGGGACCGCCCAGACCATTCTGGGCAGCGTAGTCGTGCACGGCGAGGTATTCGCGCGGGGCTTTGGGGTCGATGGTGGAGGTGACGAAGAGGCGGGAGGAGCGCCAGCCGGGCACGCGGGACAGCATGGGGATGTGCTCTTCGCGGTACCAGCGGGTGAACTCGTCCTCCTTAGCGGCGTCGGCGGAGGAGAGGGAGAGGGAGACGGCGACGAGGGCAGAGCCGGCAGCCTCGGTGTCGGGGGTGAGTTCGAGCGGTTTGTAATCAGCCGCCTTTTGCTCGAC